AACTCGATACTCGACAATAAGAACCATAAACACGAGCATGCTGGGTATATCTGACCTCGTTCAATAGATGAAATATAGGAATGATATTCTATCAAATATTTCAACGTTTACAACAACGAGTATATACTTTTTGTCTCTTTGATTAAAATTCAGATGTATCGTAACTCGTGTATTCGTCGAAGCATAATGAAATAGAGATCTATATTTTAATTAAACTGTTTTTGTTGTATCACCCTGCATGCGGTATTATTGTTAAAATGGAATTCAAATATTGACATTATCGTTGAATAATCATCTCATTTATCAAAATGCACCTTTAACTTGTTAACACATCAACTGCATTTGGTTTTTGATTTCTAATTGCTTAAAACATACAGAAGTCAGAAGGTTCTGGATGGAGGGTTCTTTATTTCTGTATTCTTTTAAAATTTCTTGGCCACCTTTCTGTATTCCTTAATTTGTCTGCTCATTATTCTCCTTTTTTATATATATTAGAACCCCATTATTCTTTATTTTTGATTGGTTTGGCTATTTGGCTCTTTTTTTTTTTTTTTTTTTTCCTTTATTGTGTATGTTTTGCCCATTATTCTCTATTCTGTAAACCCCATCCAGACCAACATACAGATGAATCAAAAAGAAGTTATATCAAGATATAATACCTCCATGGCTATACATGGTGTACTTATAATGTCGCAGCCAACCAACACAAAAAGAGTTTGATCAATAGTTATTCGAAATCATTAATATGCATGTTAAAAAGCTAATTAAAATTTTATAGTTGTAAATTTACATCCGCATATTTCTAACATAATGACTTAAAACTTCTGCACTGAGGTTCTGAACGGAATGACATTTTGAAGAGCACCATATTGCCCTATATCGTTACGTAGACAAGCAAAGCACTGGCGTACTGTTTACTCGGATGAACCTGGTAAGATCTGATGGCTGGCGAATAAATAATAGATTTTCATCTCCATGTAGACTACTAGTAGTTGCTTTCTCAAGCCGAGTGTCAAACATTTCAACCGAATTTAAGACGATAACATACTAGTATTTAGCATTTAATCAAATGGCTAGGTGCACTGTCTGAAGACTGAATAATGCAAATAATGAATGTTTGCATTTCGATTATACACTATGAGTGAGAGATCTAGATTTTAATTAGATTTGTTTTTGTAACACCCTGCATGCGATTTTATCGTCAATAAGAAATTTACATATTGGTATTATCTTTAAATATCTCATATGTTAAACTGCTTGAACCTTTAACTTTTTACGTATTAAATGCACTGGTCTTTAATTTGCGGTTGCTGTAAAATGCAGGAGGGTCTAGATGAGCATTTTTTCATTTCTGTATTGTTTAATTTTTAAGGGCATTTTTCTCTTTTTATTTAATGTGTTTGCCAATTATTCTCTATTCCTTATATGAGGGTAGGAATTCCCTTTACCGTCAGACGTCAAACGGTCATTTTCGGCTACCGTTAGCGTCAAATTGGTTAAAATTTTACCGTGATTCGTCAAAATATCCGTATCGTGATTCATCAGAGAGCTCAAATAATTACCGTTACCGTTATTTTTGGAAAAAATTAACGTGATTCGTCAAAATCAGTCGATTTTTATATCGTCTAAACGAAAGTGTACATTTTAACGTCATGCACCAAAAATTACCGTTAACGTCATTTGGCAAGAATTTTTACCGTTATTCGCCATGAAGGTACCCCCATTACGACCCTGTTATATTTAAGCACCACGCTATTCTCTATTTTTGTCTATTTTTTTCTATTATTTTTCCCTTTTATTCTCAATCTGTAAACCCCATCTACACCCATCTTTAAATTGTTAACACATCAAATGCATACAGATGCATCACATTTTTTTGTAAAAGATGACAAACATAAAAATGGCGTAATGTACAAGTTGAACTTTTCTCTTTCTTTTTCCCTCATAATAAAGTTATACATTGTGTATTTACAATGTCACAGTCGACGCACACAATTCAATTATAACGTGCGTCTGGCAAACAAAAGTTTAATCATGGTATCTATGATGAGTTTATATATACTAGATTTGATAGCTAATCGAATATCAAAAAGCTTATTAAAAAAAATATAGTTGTGAAATTACATCCGTTTTTTTTTTTTAACTATGTGTTATGGTAATCTCAGATAATACTGTAAAATGTCTGCAATGCATTCTAAAAGGAATTACATTTATATAGCACTATATTGCCCTATATTTGTACTATAATATATTACGTCGATAAAATAAGGTTTGCTGTATTTCAGCAGTGACGAGGCATCATTTCATATTTTTAAACATTTGTTGAAAAAAGTTCTCTTCATAGATTTTCCTAGACGATTTCAAAACAAACGGCAGTTTTGATTTTTAAAGGAAATGAAAATCTATATGTGAATACCATTGTAATGGTTGACAAAATAATTTGTAAATGTTTGTTTTTTATATACATGTAGATTACCAAGATATATGAATGTTATATGAAAATTTTAAGGCAGATTAACTGTAAACCGCCATCTTGGATTGTAAAATAGCAGTAATTATTCGGTCTAGTTATTTGCTTTAATCTGCAGATTGGCAATTAATGTGTAAGACGGTTAGTTTAAATAAAGAAAAATAAGTGATTTATTGCATTATTCATACTGTTTTAACAAATACTAAATTATATTTGTTCGATGCAATTTTTCAACTAAGCCATATAAGGGGAGATTACTCTTGTAGTAAAATTTTTGTACTGGAGTGATAGTGAAATTGCCATTTTATACTTTTAGTAAGAAAACAAGTTCGGTGACACCATTTGTTCTTTTTGTTTTCTTAAAGCATATTATAAAACCTATCTTCTCATGTTTTATTAAAAAGAAATCTATCTCATAGATTTCTTTTCATGAATAATCTATGCAAAATTGGGCAATTTTGGACGACTTGTAGCTTGAAAAATAGCACAGTGACCCATACTTTGATTATATTTTTTTAATGCATAGCAAAATTTCCATTTTAGCAATGTATAAGAAAATGTTATCTGAGGAAATATATATTGATGATTGACCTCAAATCATTTGAAATTTCCGGAAATATCAACAATAATGATGAAAATTGACGACTCGGTGTAAGGATAACTATATCATCATCAGAGAAGTGTTTATAACTTTAATTTTCGTTATTTTTAATTGAAAAATATTAACATAGAAAGTTAATAATGTCTTTTATAACTGTTACAATATTTTAGCATTTTCAACCTCATATGTCTAATAATAAATATAGAATTTTTACTTGTGAATTCACTTAGTTGTCGTTGATTATTGTTCCATTTCCTTTATAATGAGGGTCTTGATATAAGGGGGGCTTCATTTCTATATTCTTCATTTTTTCGGGTAATTTTCCTCTATTGTGTATATTTTTTGCCCAATTTCCTCTCCTCTCATGATTCTTTATATTTTATTACCCCATTATTTTCTAATTTTTATTTTTTTTACCCTATGTAACTCTATTCTTAATTTTTTGGTTCATTTTTTTCATTTGACCCATTATTCTTTATTCTGTAAACCCCATTCAGTTTCTCTTATATTCTTGATCCGACGGCAATATAGGATATATAATATGTATAACTTTCAAAACATTTATCGAACATTTATAAAATATAAAATTGAGTGGTTTTTTTTTTTCAAACTAATGTAACATATATACTGATAAACGAACACGTAGGGAAACCTTAATTTGACAGAAACCAAATAAAACGAATTGTACAAAAATCAAACCCCTAGATGTAAGCACAATGTTTAAACGAATCCGCACTATATGGTAAGTTCGCCCATATGAGAGGAACTGAATGGGGTTAGTAGAATCGAGAATAAAGGACAAAAAAATAAAGAAAAAATCTTTTTATCATTAGACTGCTATATACATACGTTGACACTTTTCACGGTAAATTTCAATTTCAACATTACTGCAATTGTGTGCATGTGTACATACAAGTGCAGTGCAAATTTGATAATTAAGAATCGATATATGAATATTCAGGGGTGCACAATATAATACTTGAAATAAAGAGTGTCCAAATATCTAGAACAAATTTAAAATACCTGTCAAAAGATGTGTTGTGTTATAGATCATCTCTCTTAGGCGTCCGTTCGTTATACGAACCAAAAAGGATTTGCGTTTGTCTCTGTACAATTTTACATTCTATATATTTTATTTTATCTTACTTTCAGAGACGCTTGTCTCTGGAAAATATTCTGTATACCTTTACAAGTTAATTAATGGTATATACGTATATTTGTAAGAGGCAAGTGCGTGTTCTTATTTTTCAGAATTATCAGACTTTTGACGTCAAATTTAGGGCATTTAAATATGATAGAAAAGACACAAACAATTGATGCTTTAAAACTATGCGTCCATCTGAAGGGGTCTGCTATCCTTTTTTTAAAACCGATAGCTGGAGAAGATAGAACTTGTTACGAGATTTAACTAATTTTGGAATATTAAAAAAAAAGCATCGATTTTATTTTGGCTAAACCTTTCATACATAATTTTAAAAAAACATAAACAGTTAATATGCTTAGTACGTCTGAGACTTATTGCAATTACAAGTATTGATTTGTCTTGCCAAAGGCATGCACAGAATTATAATGAAAACTATCATCAAACTATATCATTAGAGATCATGCATTAAACATATTAAAATATTTAAAGGTATCATTGAAAAGAACAATTTGTTTTGAACAAATATTGAGTAAAAACGAGACATAAAGCGTGTCCAAAACAATGCTTAGAACTTAATACCAGCCACTCAACTGGAAAACCTAGGTATGTGCGTGTCAAAAACAATGCAAGCAAGCGAAATTATTGAAATTGATCATCAAATTTAAAGGTAATATATGATTACTTGACCAAATGTTGTTCGATAAATGATGTAACTTAAATTGTATGAATATTGCTTATATTTCTGACTAACGATATTTTTCATTATTTATTAGATTCACATCTAACGAAGTAACACGGAATAGCACATTTACCTAGACAAACATTAACTGTTCGGTTGCATATACCACTACCGAATATATCGAACCCACAAAAAGACATACAGATAGCAGATTATCGAATTCTAAACTGTTATCATAAAGCTCAATTGTAAATTGCGTAACATGCAAATGGATAAGGAATGTATGCATATCAACACTACGTTAGCTGAAAGTGGGTACGATATTCCCGTGTTTGGTGTCGGTCATTACTGTTTCAATGTAATTCACGTGACGGCCATCGTCTGCTTGTTGTTGAGTTTATGTTCTGCCGTTGGAGTTATTATACTTTTATGTAAATCGAGAACTGGAAAATCATTTATGAAATGGCATAAATATGAACGATTTTTGTTATACAGATGTATTTGCGATATCTCTTATGGTTTTGTACATACTTTGGACCATGTCCAGATACTGATTACCAAGGACCATGTTCGTCTAAGTGGATTGTGCTCCTTGTATGCTATGCTTATAGTGAATACCTGCATTTCCGAAGCGCTATTTTCTTTAACGTCTGCCTTAAATGCATTTCTTTCAGTTTATTTTAGAAAGAATGTCAATTTTGGAAACAAAGACTGGAAACTGCTTCTTATACTTGGTCTTGGACCACTTTTGGTAGTCGCCCTTATGTCGTCCTTACACGTGTTTGGCCCAAGTGGATTTTTGTAAGTATGAAAATAGAAGCGATGTTTTGAGATTTGACAAATTTTATTCTGGCCAAAAATTCCATAAACTTCTGATCTTGACCATTTAAAATTATGATAACGAATTTTGCAATTTCTCTGCAGTTTTAGGAAAAGCGATGCTTTGTCAATTTTTAGCTTCACATTTGGTCTTGTTTTATGGTTAGAGAATGTCCATGCATCAATGGTTTGTGGATTTGATGACATCTGAAGGTTTGACAAGATAGATTCGGCAAACCAATATTTAATTGTGCGTCACATTTGAAATGACCCATTAACTATTTTAACCATAGTAACTCGACAGGGATCACTAGTGGAGCAGAAACGGCTATCACTTCAGCAGCAAATGAGTTAATACTCGGTTCTTTTCGTGCGGTATGTGTTGCTAGATCTGTAGTATAGGGTTTGTTTTTTACTTCTTTGTAAACAAGTATCATATTATTCTGATATACTGATTCAACACAGACACGAACTGTAGTTGATTTATGCTCCTTTCGTTTTTAATGCTGCATTTTATGACAACAATGTTATTCAAAGCAAACTTTTGACCTTTGTATAACTGAATTCAATGTAGCATTGACCTATAATGATGCTGTCGCCGGGTTTTCTATATTGCCTCTCTCGTTTTTTATAAATTATAGGTTACCTTTGCATTGAAGTTTTTATACACAATATTTTGCCTCTTTCGTCCTTTTTTAATATGGGTAAAAGAGTTGAAGATGTTTTTACCTAAAATGTATTCTGTTTCATCTTTTTTATATAAAAAGACGACGATATATCCCCAATTTCATGTCGGGACTTTAGAAGACGTTACTAGTATTCACGCCTTCTTCAAATAAAAGCAAAATTTTGCCATGGATACACAAACAAGAAATTATATTTCACCGTTTTAACTATTTGAAATCAAACGTAAGGTAAGTACTGATTACTTACATATGCACATTATGATACAAACAGTGACCTTAATTTGTTAAAAGCATGGAAACGAGGCTGGTTAATAAAAATAAGAAGATGTGGTATGAGTGCCAATGAGCTTTCTACGTCGTCTGGCCTGCTAAGAACCGAACGTGACATATTCCCGAATAAGACTGTTTTCCCAAGTGTGAATTTGCATTGCTATTAGACGTGTCTCGGTATTTATACATCCAACATTCATGTATTTAGTTATGATGTTTCGTTTGTAATTCTAGTTAGATATTGTCTTATGTCTTATCGTTTGTGGTTTGAATTCTCTTTTTTCATTTTCTATATTTATGTAAAAGTTAAGATAATTAATGAGCTAGTTCATTTATATGATTTTTAGTTTAAAGCTACTATATGCACATGCTTTATTTGTTTTTACACAATTTTGATTTAGGAGAAAAACCGACATGGTTAGAAAATACAAATAATTACACCATTACTAGCACAATTCTATATTAATATTCTTGTAATGGTTAGAAAATACATGAAATAACACCATAACAAACTTAATCCCAATTTTATATAAAGGCAACAGTAGTATACCGCTGTTCGAAACTCATAAATCGATAGAGATAAAAACAAATCCGTTTATCAAACTAAAACTGAGGAAACGCATCAAATATAAGAGGAGAACAACGACACAACAAAAACACAACATCAAAATGTAACACACACAGAAACGAACTATAATATAACAATGGCCATTTTCCTGACTTGGTACAGGACATTTTAAGAAAAAAAATGGTGGGTTGAACCTGGTTTTGTGGCATGCCAAACCCTTTTCTATTCTTAGAAATTTACCCGTGACGTCACTTTTTGTGGCGTTGATACATTCGTGTGACGCACAGTTCATAATTCATTGTGATGTACATGGGAGGTGTCCGTTGATATTCTGTAGTTTACATGTTGTAATGTACTAATATATTATTTATTTATGTATTTCTCTGTCCTGAGTGTTCTTGCGATTATTTGTATTGTATTCCTGTCACGTAATGATGTCATTTTAGCGTTATTTTTTACATTGCTATATAAACTGGAGGTTTGACTAGCCATAAAACCAGGTTCAACCCACCATTTTTTCTTAAAATGTCCTGTACCAAGTCAGGAATATGGCAGTTGTTATCAAATAGTCCGTTTCTATGTATGTATGGCGTTTGTTTTTGTAGCAGTTCAGTATTTATGTTGTTCCGTTGTTTTCCTCGGTTTTGGTTTGTGACCCGGATTTGTTTCAGTCAAATCAATTTATGACTATTGAACAGCGGTCTATTACTGTTGCCTTTATAGACACTAAGCCTCAGTTGGATGAAAAATATTTACCCCATTGACGTAATATTATTCCTTGTCATCGAATAATTGAGCTTTGTGCCAATGCTTTAGTATGGTTGGTTTTATATTATTAAGAAACCAAATTAACATTCTTGCAGGGATTTGTACAACTTTTTTGATAAGAAATTAATCTAAATTGACATAGCAGACTTTACAGGTTAGCCAAGAAAAGATTAACCATTGACCATTTTTTTTTCAAAGTCGGAATGGGGCAAAAAGGGTTTCTGTACATCAAAGTTCTTGGAAAATTGTTTTTAACACACGACTGTTAAATAAATATTATAATTTGACCAGAATTCTGTTTTCTAGATGAAACACACATATTTTTAGCAATGTAATATGTCCCAATCAAATATACCTGGCGGGCTGGCAAGGGTAAGGCGAACTTTTACCCAAAATATTTAGTAAGTCTCAAAGGTTTTTTGTATATGTATAAATATGGCTCTGGAGAAAGCATCAATAACACTTTAGGTTTCTATATTACTTGTTTCAGCAATAGTATTGGGTATGTCGGCTTCGGTTGAGCATATATTTGATCTTCCCTCTGTCAATTGTTATTTTAAATTTTGCTTTCGTTTCAGTTGTGCCTTTGATTCTGTGAACGGTGTCATTGCAAACGCTGTAGTAAGCACTGGTCTAACTAGCGCCATATTGGTAGCACTTTCCACCTTATACGTGTTAACATGGTACCGAATTCATACAGAAACAAAGGAACTTAAAACTCAACTAAGCAAAAATGGGTGTGCAAGAAGTGCAACAGTAAAATCTGCGAAAGCCATGTGCTTGTTTGTGGTTGTTTATATCATCCAATGGACGCCCCTGAGTGTATCTGGAACATGGCAGCTAATATCAGACGTTCCGTTTGGACTATTTTTAGCAGTTGTTATCATGACAAATCTTAGTGGCGTTTTCAGTGGAACAATCTGTCTGTTCAACATGTCAAACAAGATTTCAGTATCAAACCAAGAACTTGGAGAAATAAAACAGCACATGAGAGAAAACTAGAGTAAATCAGCGGACTAGAGTTTGCTATTATGCCAAAACTCTTATATGATTGGCATTTCTACACATACTTGAATGTGATATATTTGACCTTCCAAAAAATTGAATAAAGCTTTGATATTCTATCCTATGCATATTTTCAAATATTTCAATGTTTTAGAAACAACGTGTATATTTGTGTCAATCTGATTTAAATTCAGATATATCGTAACTCGCGTAATCGTCAAAGCATAACCAAATTGAGATCTATATTTTAATTAGATTTGTTTTTGGTTTTTTTGGTTTTATTTGTTTCATACTGCATGCGATTTTACCGTCAATAAGAAACTAACACATTCACACGACGTATGTTATTCAATTGTTTTGTGCATTAAACGTAAAAAACAAAAACATATACGACATATCACTTCTCTTCAGTTTCCATTATTTGTTTACTTTGAGGCTTTTTCTCTATTTCTAACATTGAAAATGCACATTACTAAAACAAGTAAAATATTGGCCGAATGAACATGATGAAATACCTTAAATTTGTAATGAGTCATCATAACAGACTAGATGTGTTTTATATACAAACTATCAGATAAAGACAGAGTTATAGGCACTGGAAACGTCGTCCTCTGCTTGCTGGAAAAAGATTATGTTTCAGTTCCTTCGGTGTAATACATTATTTTGTGCAAAACATTCTCAAAAAAGAAATATTTATACTTTTACTTGCCTTGATCGCCTTTCCTCCACTTCAAAACCGTAACCCCGTCTGAAACATAGCCGCCACCCGCATGTGGCGTTCTAAATGGTTATTATGGAATTATCTTTAAATATCTCATATCTCAAACTGCATGACACCTTTAACTTGTTAACACATCAAATGCATTGGTCTTTGATTTCCGGATGCTGCAACCATGCAGGAGTATCTAGATGAGGGATTCTTCATTTCTGTATTTTATAAGTTTTTATGTCATTTTTCTCTATTCGTTAACATGTTTACCTATTATTCTCTATTCTTTATATTAAAGCACCTCGTTATTCTCTTTTTTTGGACTATTTTTTTCAATTCTTCCCCTCCCCCTTTATTCTGTATGTTTTGCCCATTATTTTCAATCTGTTAACGCCACCAACACCCTCCATTAACTTGTTAACACATCAAATGAATACAATGCAAATGCAGCACAGTTTTTGTAAAAGATGACAGACATAACAATGGCGTAATGTACACGTTGAACTTTTCTCTTTCTTTTTCTCTGATAATAAACTTTCATACTGTGTACTTATAATGTCGAGGTCGACGCACATAATTCAATTAAAAGTATAATAGATTTGATAGCTAATCAAAATCATTAATGAACATATCAATAAGCTAATAAAAAAGTTTATAGTTGTGAAATTACATCCGCTTATTTTCGTAAATAATGCTGTAAAATTTCTGCAATGAAGTTTATGAAAGGAATTAGTCCAGCCCTGGCTCAGTGACTTATCTTCATTTTTTTCTTTTTGGTCTGAGTACAGCTTGCTCTCTATCACCTTCAATGGTGCAGGCTCTGTTATAGCATAGATATGTAACGTTTCGTAATATAGCGTTACTGATGTAAACAACATTTCCATAGCTTCGACTGCAAGTGATTTCTTCCTGTTAATGAGAGTTTCCATATAGTGTACAAGTATTTAAGGTATGTAACTTGTTTATTTTATCAAGTTTTACCATTTGTTATGAATTTTCGTATTTGACTATTCTGCCATTGTTCCAATCGTCCCTGGGTTATTTATCCGGGAGTTTGAACCATTGTAGGTAATGGAGGCGAACTATGACAACATGGAAAATAAAAAATACAAATAGTTCACTGAGGTCAGGGCAGAATAAAAAAGGAATTACATTTAAAGAGAACTATATTGCCATGTAGTATTACTATTATATTTACGTCGATTTAAAAAAAAAGTTTGTTGTATTTCATAAGTGAAGAGGCATTGTTTCAGTTTTTTAAACATTTTCTGAAAAAGTTTTCTTCATAGAAATTCAAAGACGAGTTCAATACAATTGTGCAATTTTTAAGTGAAATGAAAATTATTGTAATGGCATACCAATATTTAATTTTCATAGATCTTCATAAAAAATATTACGTAAGAAATGAAATAATTGTCATAAAAAATGTAATCATTGAAACTTCCTGAAATATCAACAATGAACAAAAAGACGAGTATGTGTTCAGTAATACAATTATATATTTATTTGTGATTCTCGTAATTCGAATATATTCTCATCAGAGATATATTACTCTTTAATCTTTGTTATAAATAATCAAAAAGTATTAACATAGAAAACTAATAATGTCTTTTATAACAATATTTTATAATTTGTTAGCTCATATTCCCCATACATATGATTAATTTACAATAATTCAAAACTATGAATTCACTTAGTTATCATTGGTTATTGTTCCATTTCCTTTATATGAGGATCTGGATCGGGGTCCTTTATATCTGTATTCTTTAATGTTATACATCATTTTCTTTTTTCCTTAATTTGAAAGGCCATTTTCTGTATTCTGTATATGTTATGCCCATTTTCTCTATTCTTTATATTTTAGCCCCCTATTATTCTCTAGTCTTTATATTTTTTGCCGATTATTCTTTATTCTGTAAACTCCCATAGAGCCTCTTCTATTCTTGAACTAACAGCACTATATGATATATATAATATGTATAATTTAACAAACAAATATCTAACACTGATAAAATATAAAATCAATCGGGTTTTTTTCAAATCAAAGTTACATATTTATTGATAAACGAAAAGGTAGGGAAATGTTAATGGGATAGAAACCAAATGAAATGAATTTTACCAAAAATGAAACACCGAGAGGTAATTACAATGTCTAAAACATGTAAAGAATCTGTGCTATATTTTTAGTTCGCCAACATAAGTGGCATCGGGTGACATTTTGTAGTATAATCTAGAATAACAGTCAAATGTATACAGAGTAGCGAAAATAGGCAATTATAAAGAAACAAGCTTTGAATCTGATATTCAGTGGTTGTCGTTTGTTGGTGTGATTCATAAGTGATTCTCGTTTCCCGTTTTTTATATAGATTAGACGGTTTGTTTTCCTGTTTGAATGGTTTTCCACTAGTCATTTTTGGGGCCCTTTATAGCTTGCTGTTCGGTGTGAGCCAAGGCTCCGTGTTGGAGGCCGTACTTTGACCTATAATGGTTTACTTTTACTTATTGTGACTTTGATGGAGAGTTGTCTCATTGGCACTCATACTGTTATGACTTGGTCAGGTGAAATTCCTTTGAAAAACATGTGTTTGTACTTTCAACCACCTGTTATGGGCTCTGATTCGATTTTTGGCCATTTTAAAGTTTGACACCGGTTATTACCTTATTAATTCAATTCCTTATGCTTTCAGTGTTCTTTTCATTCCGTTTTCCCAGTGTTCAACCATTTTAATTTATGTATAATCGAGATAACTTATGTAGCTAATTTTCACTTTCGTACATCAGCCGCCATTTCCGGCAGAGTGATTTTTGTGTATTGATTATGCAAATTAGGTTGACTGTGTAACCTCAGGTTAACTTTATGTACCACAATTGCAAAACAGTGTATGAATACTATAGCGATTGTAGATCGGTTTTTACATGATTATTGCATTAAAACGGTATTAATTATGATTGTTAATTGTACTAAGATGATTTTTATGTTCGGTAAACATATCGTTTACGTTTTTTTGTACTTATTTCTAGCAATCGGGGATCCTTTTTCGTACTTGTCAGGCCCGTTTTAAGTTTCCCGTTCGTTTCCCCGTTTAAACCGTTCGTTACCCTGTTTAGTCCATCAGAGTATAAAAACCTTGCACCTGTTTGCCGAGGGCTCTTCCTCCTAAGTCAGACCTACAGATACGTTGCCAGATTTTCGGTCAGTTTTTACTGTCGTATATTTCACATTCGCTGAGGTTTTTCATATTTTCATCATGAATTTCATGAGATTTTTAAGCAGTTTCACTGCCGTTTAGAATATTTGGCTTTTTAAGTATATATTTGTGTAGTTTTTTCAATTGTTTAGTGTAGTTGATTTTTCTAAATTACCAAATATTTGGATATTTTCTGATCACTATAAGTCTAGTATTCTAGACTTAGATCAGAATTAAAAAAAATGGATTTAATTCAATTGTAAATATAAAATAGCGGGTCTATTTATTCAGGCTAGTTTTCTTTTTATTACCTGTTTTCTTTGAGACAAAAAGGAATAAAGTTACATGCCTTCCTTATCCCTCATTTTCTCTCAATGTTTGGTTAAGACATATTGTTAAGTATCCTGTTTGCTGAGTTGTTCCAGTAATCAGAGAGAAAATAAATAATTTCTGTATACTTTCTAAGATAGGAATAGTAATAAGCTATTACAATTAAATTTTACTTTCAAATACTCTCAATATCAAATGTGATTGAAGTCAGCTTTCCTGTGCTTACTCCAGGAGGCTGTGGTTAATTAAATAATAACAAGTACTGTTATTTCAAATATATAATTTATTAGAAGATGATATATGTATGTAAACAAAGATATGATACATAAATTACTGGGTACTTGGTTGAACACTGTGGCAAATAACTGGATACATTGATAGTTAGATATATAATATATAGTTATTTAAGATTTTTTTGTTAACAATTCTGAAAAGTTGCTAAAACTGTAATTTGGTTCACTGTGATATCTGTATGAAATGCTTTACTAATAATACAAAAGTATGCTCTTAAACATTTTATTTAGTCATCAGTAAACTTACACAATAGTAGTCCAACTTGGTCTCTGGTTGTTGGTGTCATAACACTGTCTCATGGTAGAAAGACCCTCTTGCTACGCCTAGACAAGAGACTATTTGATTGTCAGACAGAAAATATTCATGTGTGTGATAGTCTGTTGGTACCGTTCCTTGCGTTTCCACATCTTGATTGATAGTTTATATGTTTACAATTTAGAGGTTCATTCTCTACCTTACAGAGACAATATGTTTTATAAACTACACGACAGGAGTGTGTTCATTTCCACAGACTACAGCGTATTTGAATATCCCTAACCCTTTTCGTTTCCCCCTTATTTGAGATATTCACTTGTTTTAATATTGAGATTAAATATTTCCGACGTGTTTTGACCCCTTTGACCTAATTAAAATCTCTCCTCATGAGATAATTACATCTAAATAAATAATAAAGATAGACACCGTGTTTAAACCATTCTCTGTCTTAGACTAGCAATTTCTAGTCTATTAAGGTCACCTGTATACCTGTAAACGCAGGTGGTGGCAACGATAGTTACAGAGACACCCGCCAGGCCAGTTATTACAATACCACATCTTCTTTTATCTATTTTAAATTATTATAAGACTGCTGTAAACATATCTTTCGTTGTCAATTTCCACATCAATACAATTTTGTGTACATACAAGTTCAGCCAAAATTTGATAGTTAAGATTAGATATATGAACATTTAAGGCTTCACAATAAAATACTTAAAATATATGGTGTCAAAATATATTTAGCAAATTTAATTTTCTGTCAAAATTTGTGTTATCGATCATCTACCTTCAGTGTCCATCCGTCATACGTACACAAAGGGTTTGTGTCCCTAATTGTTAAATGTATTATTGAATAGATATCACTGACAATTCTTCCAGATTCTAAATTCGTTTCATGTTCGAGTTGGTATGTGTTACATTGTATATATTTTATTTTATCTTAATTTCACAGTATTCTTCGTACAAGCACTTGTCTTTTATACTCTATATACCTTTACAAGTTGACTAACGGTTTGTGTGTATGTTTGTTATAGACACGTGCTTTTGACGTTAAATTTGGGAAATTTAAACAATTATCACAACAAAGACACATGCAATAGATCTTTTAAAAATATGCTCCCATCTGAAGCGGTCTGACATTTTTTTTGTAACTGATGGTCAGAGAAGATAGTATACTTTATTCAAGATGCAACTAATTTAAGAATATTGACAAAAAGCATCGGTTAAACGTTTGGCGAAACCTTTTATGCATTATCAAAAATAAAAGGAGGAAGATAAACAATTAATATGTTATCAAAATACGAGTCATCTGAGATTAATTGCAATTGCAAGTATTGATTTGTCTCGCCAAAGACATGTAACGAATCCTAATGAAACTATCGTCAAACTCCATATCATTAGAGAGGATGCATTATACATGTTATCCTGTATGTTTTACCGTATCTATGAAAAGACAATTTACTATCTACAAATATTCAGTAAAACCAACACATAATGCGTGTTCAAAACAATGGTAAGAAGTTAATACCAGCCACTCAACTAGTAAACCTAGGTGCATGCGTGACAGAAACAATATAAGCAAGCAGAAATATTGAAATTGATCATCAAATTTAACGGTATATTATAACTCGACGAGCAGTTTTCGTCGATAAATGATGTAATTTAAAAGTGTATGAATATTGCTTATATTTCTGACTAACGATATTTTTCATTACTTATTAGATTCACTTCTGGTGAAGAGCACATTTATCTAACTGTTGGGTTTCATGTACCGAATCTACCGAAACTACCTAATTCTAAACTGTTATCATAAAGCACAATTTCAAATTGCGTAACATGCAATTGGATAAAGAATGTATGCATATTAACACTACGTTAGCTGAAAGTGGATACGATATTCCTGTGTTTGGTGTCGGCCATTACTGTTTCAATGTAATTCACGTGACGGCCATCGTCTGCTTGTTTTTGAGTTTATGTTCTGCTGTTGGAGTTATTATACTTTTATATAAGTCGAAAGTAGGAAAGCCGTTTATGAAATGGCATAAATATGAACGATTTTTGTTATACAGATGTATTTGCGATATCTCTTATGGTTTTGTACATACTTTGGACCATGTCCAGATACTGATTACCAAGGACCATGTCCGTCCAAGTGGATTGTGCTCCTTGTATGCTCTGCTCATAGTGAACTCCTGCTTATCTGAGGGTTTATTTTCTTTGACGTCTGCCTTAAATGCATTTCTGTCAGTTTATTTTAGAAAGAATGTCAATTTTGGAAACAAAGACTGGAAACTACTTCTTTTACTTAGTCTTGGACCATTTTTAATCGCCGTACTAGTGTGTTCTTTGAACGTTTTAGGTCCAAATGGATTTTTGTAAGTATGAAAATAGAATTGATGTAATAAGATTTGACGAATTTAATTTTTACCCAAAAAATGTCATTTACGTCCGATCCTCACCGTTAAATTTTATGATAACGAATTTTGCAATTTCTCTGCTGTTTTATGAAAAGCAATGCTTTGTAATTTTTGAGCTTCATATTCGGTCTCGTTTTAGGATTAGAGAATGTCCATGCATTAATGGTTTATGAATGTGATGACATCTGATGGTTTGACTGGACAGATTCGTCAGTCCACTTTTGAATTGTGCGTAACAGTTGAAATGACCCAATAACTATTTAAGCTAGAGTAACTCGACAGGAATCACTAGTGGAGCAAAAACGGCTGTCATTTCATCAGACAATGAGTTAATATCCGGTTTGTGGTGGGGTTTGTGTTGCTAGATCTGTTGTATAGTATTTGTCTTTACTTCTGTGTATCTTCTCTGTTTTTTTTAATATGCAAGATATTTAGAATTCAATAACTATACCTTTGCATTTTAGTCTTCATATATGTGTTGAATTTGTTAGTATTTGTTTAGTATGCCTTTTGATAAACTAAGAGACAAATCAGGCAATCGTGCAAAAATTAATAAATCCCCGACTTCTCTGACAAAATTGACGTACGAAGAATGACCAACAACAACAAGTATCATATTGTTCTGATAACCTGATTCAGCACAGACACGAACTGTTGTTAGGTTATGCTACTTCCTTTTTAAATGTTACATTTTATGACAAATGTGTTATTCAAAGCAATCTTTTAACCACGTTTAATTGAATTCAATGCAACCTTGAAATTTAATGATTCTGTCGGTGGATTTTTGATTTTACTCTATCGTTTATTGTAATTCATAGGCTACCTTTGCATTGAGAGTTTTACATACACAATATTTTGCTTCTTTCTATTTCTTTTTAAACTGTTGCAATGGATACACCAAGAAGATATTATATTTCACCGTTTTAACTATTTGAAATCGAATCTATGGAACATACTGATTACTTACATATGCACATAATATGATATAACAGTTACCTTAATTTGTTAAAAGCATGGAAACGAGGATGGTTAAGTATTATAAGTATCAATTTTAATTTTATTTCCTAACATTCTGATTAAAATACAAATCATGTGCCCGCTTTTCTTACAATGATCTGACAAGAATCCGTTTTACTTTCTGTTCTTGTAATTATTACACAATGAAATGAAATTTCAGCCCTAACTTTTTTATCCGAAAAAAATCAGATTATCCCGAAAGGTCTTAAAAAACTGAAAGTAGGACTGGGCGTTTTTAGATCCAGGATTTGTATTTTAATCAGATTGCTTTTCTAACTTGCATTGTCAAATACCGAACTCCTAGGCATATTCAAAACCGAGAAGTCTATGAAAACTTACACAATCAAACTTAATCAACAGAACAAGTGAAAAACAATTGCCATACTCCGTGACTTTATGCATCTGAGAAAGCACGACATTGCATATTTTAAGACAAATCATACCTCAAAGTGATAGTGAAAATTCTTAATTAATTTCAGAGGGTATGAATCTTTAAAGATGACAATACATATAGTTTTTTTTTTTTTTAATTGTCCCTAACATTCAATTATGAAAATTTTTATACTAAGATTCTGTTGGGTCTTAAATTTTTACTCCCCTTGTAATCGAATAATTGCACTATGTGGAAATATGTTAGTATGGATGGCTTATATTATTTCATTTGCATAAGTCAAATATACATAAGCAGGGTTTATTTAACTAATCTGCAAGAATTTAATCTAAAATTAATTAGAAATTTATTTCCAATTTGCAAGTTCCTTAACCAAGGCTTTTATATGCTCTACACAAAAACATTGACAATTAAGTGCTTTAAAATAGCTTAATACTTTATAACACTGTAAATGTTTTTGTTAAGACTTTAAACATATAAAAAGGCAGAAACACGAAGAATTAGTTCCGATATGTAACCATAAATAAGGCAGAAATGATTTGTTAAACACCTCTGTTTGACATTTTTCTTACCATTACTTCCTGTTGCATATCAGTTTCAACTGCTGTTTTATTCATAAAATATCTATTACAGAAACAATTTTAAAGAAATAAGGAACTATTTAAATACTGACATGTAGGCCATCACATTAATTCATTAAAAAGTGGATTCGGAAATAAAGTTTTATATTAAGTTAGCAATGTGGTTTTCCATTTTTGACCTGTTGAATTTTAAAGTTATGAACTTATTGTGCAATCATTTTTAGTCTCTAAAATGGGTTTTTATGAACTTTTATATGTTCCTTATTCCAGTATGTTCTTTTTGACCGGGCCCGATTTGGTAATGTTACATATTATCTATCCGAATCATTTTGCAAAGAATTCCGCTGAAACCGGTGCTTGATATGTATGCGCATCTGTATTTTTAAACTTATGGTGTATCTATTCTTGAGATAACTTCTCTTATGTGTGCCACATCATTCTCACAATTTAAGGCCAGTTTGTGTTCTAAAATTGTAATAAGACGCACACCACCTATTATTGGCCCTCATTCCTATCCACGTTAAATTTTTCACTTCCAATCATTTTATGGGGACGGAACCAATATACCGTTATTTATACATCAGACCGTACTGTTTACCGGAACTTTGGATACAACAAACCATGTACTTCATATCTGAGAAACAGGCAATATATGCCCTCAACTTAAGAATTCATTCATACATTTCTACAAGGATCACCAGGCCTTCACTTCCAATTTATTATACATGGTTTTATATTAACACCTATGCGTAGGAACTATTTTGTTTTAAATATGTACTACTTTCCAGTATGGTCTTTTTTGACAGGCCTAAATTCGGTGGTGTTACGTCTTACAAAGTCTATCCGAATCATTTTGTAAAAAAATCCGCTCAAACTGGTGCTAGGGGGGCGTCTTTAACTTGCAGTGAGTCGAGAGGTTTTATTTTATTCCGTGTTGAGGTCCTCATTGTAATTTTTAGATGAAGAACAGCAATAAAAGCGCTGTTCCTTTGCTTTTTATGTGATTTTTAGCTGTGCATGTACTGATTTTGTGTCATGGATGGATACCCCATACCCTTTGTTTTTTTTATCAGTATTGTTTTCTGCATGTTTTATGGGCTATTTTCTATTTGACAGTTCGTATTTTGACATCTATACCGGACATGGGTCCAGATATTATTGGAATGTTATCGACAGCATTGTATCGCACTAATTTTGGACGCCATGTTACGAACAATAGCCTTTTATTGTCACGATTATCTATATCTATGATTGGCCAACCAGACTTGACATATCAGCCAAGAACGAGGGGAACCTTGACCATAGTTTTCAAAGTGGGGATGGGGATCAAAAACAATTTTGTACATCAATACTAGTGCAAGACTTACTAATAAAAGACAGTTATATAAATATTCAAATTTCAACAGAAAAAAAAAGAAATGTAATGTGTCCCCATTATACGTACCTAACCGGGTGGCAAGGGTAAGGTGAACCTTTGTCCACATTTTTAAGAGGAGTCGCAAAGGTTTTTTTTCTGTTTAAATAGGGGTCTGAAGAAAGTATTAGTTACAATTTTGGTTTCTATATTACTTGTTTCAGCAATAGTATTGGGTATGTCGGCTTCGGTGGAGCATTTGTTGGATCTGCCATCTTTCTACTTGTTATTCTAAATTTTGCTTTTCATTTCAGTTGTGCCTTTGATTCTGTTAAAGGTGTCATTGCCAACGCTGTAATGAGCACTGGTCTGACTAGCGCCATATTGGTAACACTTTCCACCTTATACGTGTTAACATGGTACCGAATTTATACAGAAACAAAGAAACGTAAAACTCAACTAAACAAACACGGAAGTGCAAGAAGTGCAACATTGAAATCTGCGAAGTCCATGTGCTTGTTTGTGGTTGTTTATATCATTCAATGGACGCCCCTGAGTGTATATGGCACATGGCAACTAATATCAGACGTTCCGTTTGGACTATTTTTAGCAGTTGTTATCATGACAAATCTTAGTGGTGTTTTCAGTGGAACAATCTGTCTGTTCAACATGTCAAACAAAAATTCTGTTTCAAACCAAGGTCATGGAGAAACAAATCTGGACATGGCAGCTAGCAAGGGCAGATCTACGTATTATACCGACCAGAATCGTGGAGAAAGAAAACAGGACATGAGAGAAAGCCAGAGTAAATCAACGGACTAGAGGTGTGCTATTTTATAGGAGTTCTATATTTGAATTTCTACAAATACTTCAATGTGATTGGTCCGTCAGAATATTTGTCCTTGGTTTACACTTCAATAGACCATGCAGCCGAAACTACTTTCATAAGTGATGTTACTAGTGTGTTGATTTCATTGTGATGAAGAAAGTTGAGATTGAAAGACAAACATAACAAATGTTGGGTTGAGAATTATAAATATTAAACTCATTTTTCTAGAGGTTATTGAAGTGAAACATGAGATTCTGGCTCACATACTTTTGTCTGTGAGTTAATCGACCTGGTTTACATATTAAAATATTCTTGAAAAAAGTTTTAAAAAATCCAATCTCTTTTTGGTAAGATTCCTTACTATTTGAACCTCGTTATATATTAGTATACAGATTATGAATTTCAACACATAAAAGTAAAGCATTTTTCGTTGTGCATCTTATTCATTTCCCCTCTTAGTTCGGTAACTATACATACACAAAATCATCTTAGCATTTGCCATTTGTATATTGTTGTAGTGAAAACTCATGTGCACTACCATTAATGTGTTTTGGGAGGTTTTTTTCGTATTTTACTTGGAGGAGGCAATGAATTTAACTTGGATGCGAACTTTTGTCCCCTAAATTTCAGATCCAGTTTATTCCCAGGAAGCGACAAGCGTCTATTTTTCACAACCCAAACCTTACCTTTTCTGAGGATTTAATTAATTTTAGGGATAAATAGTGTGGTTCGTGATATAGCTCCAAATATAATTTGGGTAATTTTCAAAGCGCCACGGTCCGTTGGTTTGCTAATAATGTGTTTGCAGCATTTTAACTAAAGAATGTAGATACGAACTTTGTATGTACTGTTCTGTCATATGTGTTATGTAAGAAAAGCGCTTCGGCATCATTTCATTTTCTTGCACTACTTGTGGACTGCTATAATCCCGAGAATATCATCAGGTCCAAATCATTGATTTGTTCGATTCATGTTTTATAATATACCTTTCTTGAATTCTCCGCTTATAAATGTAAAAAGTATAAGGCAACTAAGGTTCCAATTTCCATGAGCAAAGCTGACCTGAAATGGATATAGCTATCTATTTCAAGGTCCCTTTTGGGTTGGAGCGTACCTGATGAAGGTAAATCCAGGAAAACGCTTCGGATATCTCAAATTTATGAAGTGTTATTTTCACTGTGTTACATTATTTTGAATGTGAATGATATGTCATGTTATGCCCAAATATACTCATCATAGATACTAATCTTAAAATTATATACCTCAGCCGCGCATTTCGTCTACAAAATACTCATCAGTGACGCTTGAATTAAAAAAGTTACAAAGGTCAAGTACAGTACGTAGTTGAAGAGTATTGAGGACCCAAAATTCCTAGCCAATAGATGTTCATCCATTTGTTCGTTTCTATGCTAGTTTGGTTGTGCTGTTTAAATTTTGCGAGTGCATAAATATTTGCCAGTGGACACATCATGGACAGAAACGTAGATTCTTTCCGAAATTAGGTCATCTTGACCTAAAGCTTACGCTTGATTCTCTTTTGTGTTAAGATTAACATTATTTCAATATCAAAAGACCAACTACTTATTTTCAGCGATTACAATAATGTATTTTGAAATTAATATGCACATTTTTGTATTTTATGAAATCCATCAAGTTGATTGATAATGCAGACTATAATACTTCGTCTATAAGTTTTTTTTATATTTGATGTGTCGTCTGCAAGAAAAATTTGAGCGAAACATCGATGGTTGGAACATTTATTGAATCTTCGTCCATCACACTTTGCTATACAGAATTCCACCAACCTTGCACAGATTCTTCTATAGAAATGAATGATCTCGGAGTTTCATACTAAACAATGGAACAACATTAACACTACCAATTTTACGGTATCAGATGCGCATGTCGACTATTAATGTCTCCTCAGTTATGCTCGAGACCAAAATATTTGAAAATTCATAACATAATACAAACGTTGAAGAACTGATTAAACCAAAACGTTAAGCCAAACCCGGACAAGGAATTCTAGTTATGCATGCATTCTTTAATTTAAAATTATTTCACAGCAAATTTAAATAAAACAATATTCGTTTTTTTATGCCAGTACCGAAATAAGGACTACTCGGCTAATGCTACGGAAATCGCTTTTTCTTATTATAACATGTGGTATTCTGAAATTCCCCTAAAAAGAATTAACAGAAGAGCTAAACTTGCAAATTCTCCAACATGAAATAAAGTTTTAACTTCATATTTCATTTTTATTTGGACGACATACACATTTCGATAAAAAAAAATAATATATGATATGCTTGACAATGAAATTAGATTTTTTTCACAGAATGTCTAACAAAATTTGTTTAACTCTTACTTTACTAAAATCATTGATTATCCAAATATCCTCAAGAGACCAAAGGACGTGTATGATAAACACTGTAAGTCACCGTACGGCCTTCAACAATGAGCAAGATTCAAACCCGTACAATAAGCAATGAAAGTCCCGACAGCAACCAAAAACAACCACTGGTGTACAGTAATTATTAGAAAATGTGGCAGAGTTAAACATGGTTTGTATGCGCCAACCCTTCCCACGCCTACAATAGTGGAGTAAGATCACAATATTGGAAAAAAAAATGTAGAAAACAATTGAAAAGGAATTGACTCTTCAGATCGGCACAAAGCACAACAAAATACAGCAAAAGACATAAAACCCACAAAGTACCGATATAAAAGCTCTCAAAATGGTGTTTTACCAGACTAAAATATCGATCAGTTCACATTCAACGAATTTAGCTTAATGCTGTCGTAAAGAATCTGCGAAAAGCATTACTTTGTAATATACTGAAATAAAAGTATCGACAGGGTGTAGGAGCAAAGTACTTATAACTGTATAAAAATACATATTTAGTTATTTTTTAAATTTATTGAAGACAAAATGAATATAAGTACCGATAACGAAACGCCGACTTTTTTTTTTTTTTTTTTATCTCAACAACATATTTTTTGAGTTGGGTGGATTGATATTTTAACACACAGTCGGTATACCAATGAGTACCAATTGTGCACAACTATACTGCCCGAAATGTATTTCTACTTATATGAATTAAACATCACACATAACCTTCTCCAAGACAAAAAGAAGAAAAATAATATCTTGCACAATTCTGTAATTTGACTTTCAGATGTATTATGATGTCGTGTCACTCAATAGCAACCATTAAAATGAGTGTCTGCATCTCTTTCACATCAGTGAATTTGAGATTAAGGATACTACTGAAACAAGAATGTCTGCTTCAGCTCTTGATCTTTTCATGGATATTAAAACAGATGGACGACCTTACGCTAGAATCTATGACAAACGTTATGATTTTAACTTTCTAATCGCCAACTTGTCATTTCTCAGCAGTATCATACCCTCAATCCCATCGTATGGCGTTTAGATATATTAGTTGATACGTAACGCTCGTACATGTTTACACTATAGCGACTTCCTTAGACAAAAACTGCACCAATAGAGTTATGAGAAAGAACGACTGAAATCGAAATTACATCAGTTTGACGGTTACCAATACGAATTAGTTGACCGATATGATATACATGTGTCTCAACTTACTAGCGATATTTTTTCACATTTTCAGATCTTTATATACAAGAATAGTTGAATATGTATTCTTACCTATTGTGACATTGTGACTGAGTGTGGATTCGCATGGCGGGTGGTGCATGTATAGAAAGAGATTCTGAACATGTCGACACATCCGCCTCATTCCTTTCTGAAATCATGTGCTTCCCCAGACTTTGTTTGTTACATTGATTTGTCGCAATCGATTTTCTTAGATACTGATATCGGTTAATTACTGTTTCTTAATCAGGCTGCCTATGACGCTTTTTCATTCCATGCATTGGAGGTGTACTGATTGATAATTAAATATCTGTTCGATAACATTTGGCTTTGATCTAGCTTTCAATGACTACAAATACTCCTGGTTCAGTTTTGCTACTTTATGCCTTTTGTAATTTTGTAATATCATTTATGGTACTAACAGCACCAAATGCGCATTTCGACAATTAATGTCTCTTCAGTGATGCTCAAGATCAAACTATTTGTAAATGCAATACCTAATACAAACGCTGAAGACCTAATAAAACTATAAATAGAACAAAATTAAAGTTATACCTGGACGAGAAATTAGAGCTTTTCATGAATGAATTGTAAATTGTTGTTTTCTAATGATAAACACCGTTATATTCTAAATACACTATGTTCAAACGAACATTAAGTATTTATGTGCTAAATCACATTCAGATAATATATGCATACCTTTATACGATAAAGGCATAATAGAAAACTAAATACATAAATAGATACTGTTAGGCGCAATGACTATCTCGATTTTAATAACAAGATCCAGAGATCACAATATCATATCAAAACTAATTTTCAAACAGTTCATATTTTGAATAGCGGTAAACATGCACATCTACGAAAAAAACCATCTCTAATAAACATGACAAAATCTCAATCTAATCAACATTAAAAGACTGCCATCAAGCATCTACAAAATATATACAAAACATGTTAATTCTTTACATACAACTTCAATTAATTATACAACAGAATTCGTAATGAAAATTAGACTTCAATACTAAGCAAAGGTACGACAATGGTTACTGTCCAAACCTCGATAACTAAATCTTGTGCAAACTTTCTTATATACTAACAGACAAAACCGGTTAACAACTATTGTGAAAACACAATTATAGAATTAATTACATACTTCAAAAATCATACGCGAACCGCACAAACATATATATCTAATTAGTCAAGCCCCTTTCAAATGATTTTCAAAGTTGTTTGTTTCTATTTTGTAATGAGTTAACCAAAACCACAATAATGAAATACCTGAGGTTCTGCGTGGGAGGTTTTTCATTTCATTGTTCTTTGGACTATTTTCTCCATTCTTTATTTATTTTGCCCATTATTCTCTATTCTTTATATTTTAACACCCATTATTTTACATTCCTAAATGTTTTTGCTTGTTATTTTTCTATTCTTTATTTCATTTGCTCTTTTTTCTGCACTTTTTTACCATTATTCTTTATTCTGTAAATTCCATCAATGCCCTTATACCTTCTACTTGAAATGTTGATCTGTATTGTAATACATATGTAAAAGTTTCAATAGCATATTTGTAATATAATTATTGTTTCCATGCGGAACATTTTGAATCGAGGCAAAGAAAAATTTCTTAGTTTTTTCGTTTTTCCATGAAATGATGGTTAACCGGAAAGTAACGAAAAACTTGATCTGTAACTTTAAATCGTCCCTTAAATACACACCAAAACTAATTCTTAATTTAAAAACGCAGTAGTAAAAATCATTTGCAAGTACCATTATTCATTGTTATTCTTTTTATGTTCAAAGACGAGCAGTAATTTCGTCGAAAATATATAAATCAACAGAAACAAACCACGAAATCTATTTATCATTCGCTTATTTCTATAAACTTAGACTCTATCTGTGCCTTACAAAAGAAATCCACACCAAAAATAAATCAAAGGGACGTAATTCTGCTGAAGGCAAAAACCAAGGAACGTAAGTCTGTTGAAGGAAAGTTAACAAAAAATCCAAGGGACGTAATTCTGTTGAAGGAAAGTTAACAAAAAATCCAAGGGACGTAATTCTGTTGAAGGAAAGTTAACTTGGTTTTTAGTTACTTAACCCCATCATGTCACAATTACTTTGAGATGTGTATTTTTACAAGACGTTATTACTTTAGAATTCAAAGATTTTTCAAAAAGCTAATGTTATGTAATGTAACCAGTATTGATTAAACACTCAATTTTCCTTTTAACCATAATTCTAGAAAAGACAAAAGTTAAGCCTTGAAACGACAGGACATTGGATATCTTAAACAATAACCAGTATGGATTTTTCTTTCTAATGCTTTTCAAAACTCATGCATGCGGTAAGATGTTTTTAGACTCCACATCCTCATAGAGGACGTACTTAAAGCTTGTATTTCTTACGCTAACTTTTATAAAGAACTATATGTTAAATAACTTTAAGGGAAACACGAGACTTACCTCGTGGTGAAACGCTGTTAACAGTTCTAATCACTGGATCGTAATACATAGTTGCTCTTAAAAAGAGGAAATGTTTTTTCTATGACTGAAAGAATCGTAAGAAGTAAAGGTATTGAAATGAATCGAATCATTTGTCATATGAGGGAAACTGTTAGTCAGTGATTGATGTTGATTTAAAAGCTAATGTATTAACAATGCAGACTTCATATGTTTCTGATTAACGATACTTCATCATTTGTCAGTTAATATTTTATGGAAAAAGACGGAATCATTTCCGCGCCGACATTGTACTGGATCGAGTGTCTCGACCATCAGACTGAGTCCATATACACAAACAGTGGTTACAGACTATACCAACATATTTAATTATGTTCTTATTAGGACAACACAAATATTGCGTTTTCTAAATTATATATCATGAGTATGGATAAAGAATGTATGCATATCAACTTGATGAACACTACGTTCGCTGAAAGTGGATACGATATTCCTGTGTTTGGTGTCGGCCATTACTGTTTCAATGTAATTCACGTGACGGCCATCGTCTGCTTGTTGTTGAGTTTATGTTCTGCCGTTGTAGTTATTATACTTTTATATAAATCGAAAGTAGGAAAGCCGTTTATGAAATGGCATAAACATGAACGATTTTTGCTATACAGATGTATTTGTGATACCTCTTATGGTTTTGTACATAGTTTGGACCACACCCAGATACTGATTACAAAGGACCATGTCCGTCCAAGTGGATTGTGCTCCTTGTATGCTATGATTATAGTGAATACCTGCATTTCTGAGGCGCTATTTTCTTTAATGTCTGCATTAAATGCATTTCTGTCCGTTTATTTTAGGAAGAATGTTAATTTTGGAAACAAAGACTGGAAACTGCTTCTTTTACTTGGTCTTGGACCTTTTTCGGTAGTTGCCCTTATGTCGTCCATACACGTGTTTGGTCCAAGTGGATTTTTGTAAGTATAACAATAAAAAGAAGTTTATTTTTCATATTTGACTTTTTATTTTGCTTCTAGAAATTAAAATTAATCACTGTTTGGGAATACATTGAAATAAGTACAGTATTTAAGGTGGTATGAGTCTTTCGCCATCTTGGATTGCAAAATAGCAGAACACAATAGGTCTATATTTGCAATCAAGTCGGTATAATTCTATGCAACAATGGAATTTACTGACAAAAATTTTCATTTGAATAAACAAATTTATGTGATTTTATCTTATTATTACAAATGTCTTTACAAAATAGAATATTTTTGTCTGATTTAATTTTCTTTAACTGTGTGTATTAAGGGGAGGTAACTTGGAAATTGTTTAAGAATCTGTAGAAAATGTCTTTATTCTATGTTATAGCAGGAAATAAAACCTACGGTGACCATTTTTGTCTTATGATATCCTGAAAGTATCTTATAAAATCTATGTTCTCAAATTTTATTTTAAAATTATATCTATTTGATAGATACCTGTTATTTACATAATGATGCCTTTTCACTGTATAATCCATACAAAATTTGTCACCTTTTCTCAGTCTGTAGCTTGAAAACGAGCTCGGTGACCTATAATTATCATTATATTTTTGTACATCTTACAATTATATACTACATTTTGGCAAAGTAAGAAAAATTCTATCATTTTCCATTTATACTCCCATACAACCTTAAGAATATTTCTTAAACGATTTGCATATCATGGTTGATATATGTTTGCTTGTTTAACGTTAGAGGGAATTATTTAGGAATATTCAGGACGACTATACTATGACCAGCCGCTCTCGTGAAAACTATGATTAGCTATGTTTCGTAAAGAATATTGCACATTGACATCTGAAAAAAAAACAACAACAAAAAACATACTGATATTATAAGATATGAAGTTAAAAAATACATAATAAGAATTAAAAATTACACACTGGATTTAAAAAAGGAAAATCCTAAACTGATAAATAAAAATTTCACACTAAGAATGTGCGCACATTTCATGTACGTATATAAATAATACTATACATAAGATGCGCTTGAAATAAACATACGGCTTAAGGTTGAAATTGACCTTAAGAGCCCTTTAGTACCAAGAGTACACACACGTTTCTACTTGCTTTAATGTCCATTGGTAATTAATCCTTTCCACTCTTACACACAGCGCATGGACATAAACAGTGTTGGGTTAAGGGGGTCACGCCCCTCTTTGATTGGAGAATATATCGCCGCTATGTTTAACATTGAGGGCGATTTCGCCCCGGTTTTATCATGCCCTGCAGGATCGAACGCTTATAAGTATTCGTCACTTTCGATATTACGCTATAATTTTTATTTAAAAACCGCATTTAGATTTAAAGGATGTTTGCTGCTCTCTTTAAAAATAACTAGCTTTTTAAGAGATGGATATACACTGACAGTATATAGATAACGGAACTGAAAAAGCAGAACAATAGGATATGTCCGCGTTCTTATTTTTAAGACAAGAGCCATTAAATATCTGACAAAAAGTCAAAAACAAGAGCAGCGAACATCCTTAATAAACTTGGTACCACTAACAAGAGAATTGTCACAACTATGTTTGTTTATTTTGTAGAAAAAAAAATATGAAGTGTTTTTAATTTCTGATGATTTTTGAACTAAAGCTTAATTTATTGTCAGGAAATTGGCTATATATTTCAGTTAACATAGAATCGTAAAAGATTATCAGTGGGTTTTACATCAGTAAAAAACAAAAAATACTGAAGAAAAAATCATCACATGATAAAAAGTTTTGCATCTTTTAACACCTGGTTTCTAAAAATGGGGGAAAAACCAAATGTATTTGAAATGATTTTGTTCATGCTGATTTTTATGAACGCAAATGCCAGAAATTCATGTTTCAAAATTCAATGGTCTGGTACGTGTAGCAAAAATAATATATTAATATTTCAACTTTAATCTCGCTTTTCGTTTCAGTTGTGCCTTTGATTCTGTAAAAGGTGTCATTGCTAACATTATAGTAAGCACAGGAATGATTGGTGCTATATTGGTAGCACTTTCAACTTTATACGTGTTCACATGGTACCGAATTTATACAGAATCAAAGAAACTTAAAACTAACCTGGGCAACAACGGTAGTCTTAGAAGTGCAACATTGAAATCTGCGAAAGCCATGTGTTTGTTTGTAGTGGTTTATATAATTCAATGGACACCTGTTACTGTGTATGGAACATGGCAGCTTATTTCTGATGTTCCGTTCGGACTATTTTTAGCAGTTGTTATCATGACAAATCTAAGTGGTGTTTTCAGTGGAGCAATCTGGCTGTTCAACATGTCAAACAAAAATTCTGTTTCAAACCAAGGTCATGGAGAAACAAATCTGGACATGACAGCTAGCAAGGGCAGATCTACATGTTATACAGACCAGAGTTCTACTAATAAACAATGACTCTCACATAACTTGGCCTAAAATTATACCTGCATTTCCGCTTACCATACCTTCCCTAATTTTGAAACCAATCCTAATATTTGTTTGTCATTTTAAAAACATTTTTTAAAACAAACACTATTAAAGTCATATGTTTTCCCTGTTTCAACCATTCAAAACTTTTGGAAAAATGAAATTATCTGCCTCCCAACTGACCCTATTTTGTTATTCAACATACGATTTGAAAGCTTTATTAAGATTCGGTGTAGTTACAAACTACAAAACATAAACCCTTTAGAGCTTTTAACCGAATACATACAAACATGCATACAACAATATAAAAAGCATAATCATGCAAGCATACTAAAACTAGAGAAGCACACAGTAAAGTACGCACAGCACAAACATGGCAACGAAAATTGTTCATGCTAGCATAGCTATAAAAGAGCAAAGTAATGTAAAATAAACACAATGAAATAAAATGAGAGCTTATCTACATGCAGACCAGCGACCTTCCGAGCCATTCCAGGTCTGTATTAGACTCTTGAACTGAGATAAACTGTTGAAAAGAGGTTGATTTACTCAGTTTGTTCAAAAGGTGCCTACACGTTTGGGGATATTTAGTTGCTGGGATGCCTTTCAATAGCTTAATATACAACCCTAGATAAAGCCGAGCTTGTGGGAAAAAATCAAGTTTCAGATACACCAAATTATTTTGTAAAAAATTACAAACCATATTTCTAAAGATCGATTTGTGTATTTACATTATACACTAATCGTTATTGTCGAAAAAGGAGAAAAAGGCCAGTTGAATTATATTCGAAAAATACCTGTACGTTCGTTGTTCTTCGATATTTTCTTCGTAGAACGTATTTCACAGCAAAATGTAAGTAAGTCAATTATTTATTGTAGTGACATGTGTACTAACAGTTTAACAAAATACAAATATGTTATGAAATATAAAATGCATCTGACCCATTAGGTCTATAAGTGACTTTCAAAAGCACACAATTCTTTCTTTCCTTACGGATTTACGAACAAATGAAACAAAATGAGCTGATTTTGAATAAGCACTTCTAAGTAGTGACGAAAAATAGAAAATATAATAAAATTGTAACAATTTAAGGTCATCCTTTGATAGGATCATGTCAATGGTGTTACCAATATAAAAACATGCATTTAGTTATTAAAAAAATATTTTTAAATACCACAAAACTGTTCCAATTTGTTGTTAAGGTTTAAATTACTACTTATTGACATTATTTTTATATGTATGCATTCTATTTGAACATAAATTTCAGAATACATTGTTGTAAAAAACATAGCTGTCATGATTATGGCTGTTGTTAATATTAAAGTATACACTAAAACTGAATATATGTAAAATGTGTAAGACTGAATGATTAGATAATGCCTAATCCTTCGAATTCGTATATGGCCTAAAAAAACTTTCATTTGTTAATAAAAAATAAAAATTATTGCATTTTTATATAGTAACACCACTGACCCTCCAGTAACTACAATGACACACAAGTATCACCATTGACAACAAAGTTCAAATTTTATTAAGTACTGAACACAAAACAAAGAACACTAAGAAAAAGGAAAAAAAATGATTCTAAGGCTAAAAAATCCCAAATTATATAACATAACATCAATAACTAACTAGAGGCTCTAAAGAGCCTGTGTCGCTCACCTTGGTCTATGTGCATATCAAACAAAGGACACTCTCCAACATTGTAGACGAGAATAAACTTAATGACAAAAATCTCTATTTTGTTGATCTTAAGAGCAATCACTCCTATGAAGAGTGACGGTCTACTAACTATATCGGCAAAATTTGACTTTTTAATAGATCTTGCCTTGCTGATCATTTTTGTGATTTAAAGTGTTTATTTATCTATTATAATTGAAATCACATAAGGCATAACGGAAAAAAATTTCTTTCTCTAAATATCATAGTTGTCATGATAATAGGCAAAAATGAAAAAAAAAATGGTAAAATTTGTTATTTATGGGCAATAACTCCTATAAGAATTTGTCTAACAGTTTTGACGTATATGGACAATTGGTAGAGCTCATTATTTTTAACATTTTTGCTCCTTTCAGATTTTCTCTATTTATAACGTTTCAAAAGATAATAGACAAAACTTGCATTTTACCCCTATGTTCTATTTTTAGCCATGTCGGACATGTTGGTTGGTAGGCGGGGTCATCGGACACATTTTTAAAACTAGATACCTAATGATGATTGTGGCCAAGTTTGGTTAAATTTTTCTCAGTAGTTTCAGAGGAGAAGATTTTTGTAAAATTTACGAAAAATTGTTAAAATTTACCATAAAGGGCAATAACTCCTTAAGGGGTCAATTGACCATTTTGGTCATGTTGACTTATTTGTAGATCTTACTTTGCTGAACATTATTGCTGGTTACAGTTTATCTCTATCTATAATAATATTGAAGATATTAACCAAAAACTGCAAAATTTCCTTAAAATTACCAGTTCAGTGGCAGCATCCCAACTACGGGTTATCTGATTTGTCTGAAAATTTCAGGGCAGATAGATCTTAACCTGATAGATATTTAAACCGCTGTCAAATTTGCTCTAAATGCTTTAGTTTCAAAGATATAAGCCAAAAACTGCATTTTACCCCTATGTTCTATTTTTTAGCTATGTCGGCCATGTAGGTTGGTAGGCGGGTCATAGAACACATTTTTTAAACTAGATACCATAATGATGATTGTGGCAAAGTTTAGATAAATTTGACCCAGTAGTTTCAGAGGAGAAGATTTTTGTAAAAGTTAACGGACGACGACGGACGGACGCCAAGTGATGAGAAAACTCACTTGGCCCATAGGGCCAGGTGAGCTAAAAATATCAATAGTACACTAGTGTTACTAAATAGTGTCATTGGTGTTACATGCATACACCAGTTTGTGAAAACTTGGTATAGGTAATACATTATGTTGTTAAAACATTGTTGAATAAGTATTATATTTCATAAATAATATGATGTTTCGGTTGTTAAACATGAAAAAAAAAAACCACAAAAAATTGCTGACTGTCATAATATATTCAGTGGTGTTACTAAACTGGTCAATGGTGTTACTTTATTAAAGATGTCTCACCATTGACAGTAACACCAATGACGTACAGGTGTATTTTTAGATTTAGTTGCAAAATAAGTGTTCCATTCCCCTATTTTATATGTTGTTCCTGGTGCATGTTTCTACAATCAATATGTTTTCATAAATCAAAGTTAAGGAAATCTTTCTGAAAATGATTTTTATAAGGGTACACCATGGACACAAATTTCATTAACGATATAGCTTTTACTTACTTTTAAGATTTTTTCACTAATTTTCAACATAGAATTTTTTTTGTCGTCTGCATTACATGCTTACAGGTGACATTGCTAGGGGAGAAACTATTGTAAATGCTGAAATCTTGAGAAAGATAACTCTTAGGCCATAAAAAAGAATATGTTTGTTTGCCCTAACCCTACCTACCCATAAAATAGCTGCCTACTCAAAATCTTTTATTGTCCTGATGTGAAATTTTTTTTTTAATCAGATAAGCATGAAGACTAAACAACATCTGACACTTCAATTTCTCTTTGTCAAAAAAAAGAAAAAAAAGAAATGCCTACTTACCTACCCACTGTCTCTACCTTTGGGTAGGGTTTGGGCAAACCAAAATATTTTTAAGTGTGGCCTTACCCAACCAATTTGTCTTGACTTAAAAATGAGACTCCTCTGTTTGTTGACAATGTTTGTTATAAAACGAACATACACTTTCCAAATCATTTTAAAATGTTTGTATATATCAAAATGCAATAAATAGTGATAAATCATAATAATAAAAGGATATGAATAATAGTCCTATTTCAGGTCTGAAAGGTATTATGGAAAAAAATAAAGGTTAATTCTGGCTATATCCAAGGGTTTCAGGAAACATTAAGGATGTTTTTATAACATTTCATACTGTAAACTGTATACTAGTATTGTGTATCACAAAACATTCATATCTAACATATACAAGTGTTATTTTGATATATGTTCATGTCTGTGACTTTTAAAGACAAAATAACATATATTTGCATGTTCTTTGTATAATGACCCTTATAGGTAATGAGTGGTTTACAGTTCGAAATTTACATAATGTTATAATGTCGTGATCTCCCAGAATATCAAAGTAATCTTCAAAATCCAAGTCTTCTTTAAAAATCCTGTAATTTAGACATTTCGGGGAGTTCTGAATTTCTGCATACCATATTTGTTTATACTGATCAGTGGTTTTTTATGCTTAATGTTAGCCACTTATGTTCTTCTTCTTCTTCTTCTTCTTCCTGGTACGGGAAAGACTCCGGTGCCGGAGTGTGGAATATCCCGGAACTGTGGCGCTATGTACATGCAAATCGATGTCGAAAATTTTGTTATATTAAAATAAAAATATTTGCCACAGTTCAATTACAATTTAAAATAACATTAGTTGTAGCTTAATGTTAAACATATTCACATTATGTACAGTGGCTTAAATACACTAATTAATTAGCCAGACTAGAACCTCCAAATGTTAAGGTTGAGATACCACCTTTGAAGGATTCTAGGGAGGGTGACATGCAAATTGTTTCTGGGAGATCGTTCCAGACAGCAATAGTACTTGGGAAAAAAGATGATTTAAAAAAGTCTTTATTTGTATATATATGTCGAAATTTATGTAGGCCTCTAGTTCGCCTGTCAGATGGTGTCAGGACGTCATTAGTGACTTCGACCAACCCCCCATTAATCTTATAAATCAAGACAAGCTTAGCTTTTGTTCTACGGGATTGCAAGTTTTCCCATTTTAGTTTGTTTAACATACCAGTGACAGCACCTGGTGATCTATCGTTATAGTTATTAAAAACATATCTTGCTGCCTAACGCTGTATCTGCTCAATTTGGTTTATTTGGCTTTGTTTGTACGGATCCCAAACTGGTGAGGAGTACTCGACGGTCGGACGCACAAGTGATGTGTACGTAAGGTTTTTAACCTTACGTGTACAATTTTTCATGTTTCTACGTAAAAATCC